GTGTTACCCAGCCCCTCCTTTGCCCTGTGCAGGAGCACAGGGCAAACAGCAGCGCTGCCCTTGGGCCAGACGCAAAGGGCCCGAGTTATAAGATGAAACTCTACAAATACAAAGTCCAACAGGTGAAACCTGGGAAAGAGTTACAATAATTCCTCTGGTTTGTTGGAAAAGGTTTTCTATGATTGAGACCAACAAAAAAACCTCTGAACCGAGGCAATCTGAAAATCTCTTAACCCGAGTCTCGTTAAGGATGAAAGGAAAAAGTGAAACACAGTCTAGATTAAAGCCCCTTGATGCATGAGACAATTGCAGGCTCTCCGCTCATACACAGCCCCTGCCAGTCCAAAAGAATGACTGGACGCGAGCCAGAATACAAATAAACAAAAGCTCTTTTCAGAGTTTAAGGGAAATATCTATGCAGCCAGAGCATAATTCCTAACAGCAGCAAGTCCTTCTTAGGAAGTGAAACAGGCAACTGCTGGAATAAACAGTACAGCTAAAAAAAATGGAAGTCCTCTTGAAAGCTACAGACAGGCAGAAAAATATATATAATGCAACAAGGCAGCAGCATGTGGGGGCTTTGATGGCTGTTTCAAAGGAGCGCACGGATAGCATTTCAAAGGCACTTTCTGCCTGAAATCTCAGCATCGTTTGCAATAGTGCAACATGTAATCACCTCTTCAGCAGAGCCTCCTAGGGGGATGGAGAATTGTTTAAGAGAGACTTTAACTTCACCCTATGTGAATTATAGTAATAAACACACCAAGCCCTGAATCAAGAGGCTTCAGCCTTTGCCATGCTTTTTCAAGTGAGAAGAAACCAATCCTAGCCCTTACGGAGAACCAACTTGAAGAACTGAGCTAGTCGTGATGCAAGAGACACAAGGGGAGTGGGAAATAACAGCACTAAGAGATAGCACAACCCTGGGTGCCACAAGCGCTGCTAGGAACAATGACTGATCAGAGAGCTCAGGTCAACCTCCTGGGCCCTGCATGCTGGAACGTATGTGCACAAAGGGCAAAGTTACTTAAGAAAAAAAATATTCCTGGCCCTGCAGGCATCTTAAGTCATATTTTAAGCCCTGTTATGAAGACAGTTGCTTGACTATGAAACGAACATAGCACAAAGGAAGCAGCTGGACCTGATGAGGAAGTTAAAATCATTCCTATAAACAGGCAGAAGTTAGGGAGAAGACTGTACTGTACGTGCTAAACAACATAAATTTGGTGTCTGAAGTGCAAGTCCACAAACACCCCAAGTCCATTTCAACCTTACTCCAAGAAAAACAAACCCCAAGTCGCTGGAACAGGAGACACAAATGTCAGTCAAGAGAAAATCCAGGGGCAGAAAGTCAGGCTGGCAGCAGTCATTTCTGCTACACCCGTCTGGGCAACTGAACACTGACAGATGACCTCGGGCACGTCAGACAATAGCCCGGCAACACGAGCAGCTTGGGACGTTAGTCAACTCTACCACTACATGCTGAGCACCCAAATAGCAGAGGACTAAGTCAAAGTTGGACCTTTATTCCAAATTAAGCCTTGCAAAAAGCCTGGCAGGTCCTGCAACACCCTGATCACTGACATCCCTTAGGACAGGCAAACACATACAAGCACCCATAATTTTCTCTGGGTCAATGGAGTCAGGGCTCAGATCAGTAGCTTTAAACAAGCATGGTGGTTTTGAAGTGTTCATTTTTTTTAACGCTCTCCAGAAACTCTTCTAAACCAAGCACTGCATTCTGTGGAGTGTCAGCATGGCGAGGGGGTGGCCAGGCTTCAGGAGACTGGCGAAGAACAAGTGTCCATGCATCATTCAGACCAGGATGCAAAGCCTTTGCACTTGCCCCCTGGATTTGAGGATATGCTACCAAGACTTTCCCTGTGCAGAGACGGTGTCTCCACTTACCAAGGCCTAACAGGAAGTAGCAGGCTCCAAAGACCAGGTCTGGATGTGGAGCTTGCTGGCACGATGCAACTTTCCTCCTGACAGTCTCAACACTTTTGACCCATGTAAGAGGGCACCGCACCACTTCCAACAACAGATAGGCTTCACCATATTCCTGGGCTAGAAAAATTGTTCTTTTTAGCTCCCCATCATACCACATAGGAGCATGATTGCTAGGAGAAGGCCATCTACTTTCAGGAGCAGCAGCATTCTTTCCATACTAAAATATTATAAAACTTTCTAGAGACTAAGCAAAGAGGATTTAAGTTTTCAAGCTATATTTCTGGGGAGCATGTAAAGGACTGTTGCATCTGCTCTACATAAACCCTTCATCCAGAAATCTGTGCATCACTTAATAGGCACAAAATAGGCATCGGATACATACTGGAACAAGACAGGCGTAATCTCCCGAATGCACAGAAATAGCTACAAACCTGATTCCAATTTCTTTGTTTTCACTATGCTCATTTTCTCTCAAATTACTTCCAAAACATAGCCTCTTCTGATGTTAATTGTGTGTACACTTCTGCTTACACTTTAAAGATTCTTCTCCTCTTGGGAAGTAACTTTTGTACACAAATCACGTAAAGCTACTTAGACAATGTGCTGGAGATGATTAAGAGAGGCCAGGATTAAATTTATACCTTAAGAAAGCAACAGATGTTGGCTGAATTATTTGTATACATTTTCAAATGAGCGTGGGTTAGCATATGCATGCCATTAAAATCTTTAAGGAATTTACTATTTTTATATACGTGTTGATTATAGTTTTGATACTAAAGAGAGCACCACACTAAATGTTTGGCAAAAGTTCTTTCACTTAGTGTAAAGAATATGTATTTTACCTAAACCACTAGAAATTAGAAATGCCATTCTCGTCTTTCATCAGTGCCATTAGCTGAGGCGCTATGAATTCTGAATCGAGGAAAATCAGCACAGAGCAGACAGGACAGTGACAATTCCTTTACCCAGTACAATATTATAAAAAGAGCCTGCCAAAAAACACAGGAGGGACATTTATGCTAACAATCCCTAATGACCAAAGCAACAACTTAAAAAAATAGGATGACAGTTTGAAGCATTTCACGGATGACACAAAGGACCTAAGCAGCGACTGCCTCTCTGTGTGCCATGGAGTAAAACAGAAGGAAGTGCTAGGGGTGGTGCTTTGGATGCAGACACTGTTTTGGTACACGGGCTGCTCAGTGAATTGGTAACACTAACTCAGCAAAGCAAAAGCTATGCTAGGGTGGCAGGTGCTGTCCAAGAGGCTCCCTCGCAGCATGAGGATATAGGTGTTTCTTACTTTCTGCAGATTAATAATGAGCATAATTTCTGTGCTCACACGCACAAACCTAGCCTGTGATCAGAGAGCAGCATGACATAGGCCTGGACCCACACGTACATTTACCTGCCACTCCAGCTTTTTAAGAAGAAAGTGACAGAAGGAAACCATAATCCACAAGACAACAGACTCCTAGCTGCACGGCAAAGCACAGAGCTGACTTCTAACCTGATTTACACGGAGGTTCTCTAAGTAACATTCTAAAAATAAAGCAGAGTTACTGAAAAGTTTGATTAAGTTTGTGAACTTAATCAGAGGTATGATCTTCCTTCCCTCCACAGGCATCAATGCAGAGAATGCTTTCCTCCATGTTTGGAGAGGGAACAGAACTTCAGAAAAGGCTACGTGCAAGAAGAAAAAGTGAATGAAAGTGAGGAAACAGGACAAGAGATAGCCAGGTAGAAAGAAAGGACAGCTTTTATTTTAAACAAAACTGTTCTAACATAGTTAAGCACTTAACCCTTAAGCCAAGGTATCATCCAGTTTTATCCAGATTAACCTTACTAGCAGCTGGCTAATGTAGAATGAAAAATTGTACATTCAGAAAAAGGCTGCACAGCCCAGGGGAATATATATTCCATAAAGAAGCAAGAAAAGAAAAGAGCGGGGCAAGGACAACACTTAATATTCAGTGAGGACATGGAGTTGAATGTGTAATCCTTGTGCATATTCACTGCAATCCAGTCTGATAAATCAGACTCCGGACTTTACTTTTTTCTGTGCGATATATTCTGGACAGTACAGCAATATGCTATATATAGCTACGTATCAGATTAACCATATCCCTTCAGAAGCTTCTCCTACAGTAAGTCTGCTTTTCCTGCAACAGTTTTCTTCTTTGTCTACCCTTCCCTTCTTTGTGACATGAATCACCCAACTGGGAAAGTCTCTAACACTTTTGATAAAGCCGCTGTTCAAGAACCACCTATATCTTCCATGTACGTTCTTCACTGAGCAGCCACAGTCTTAGGAATGTAATCCCAACCATCCTCACATTGTTTTCCTACTCCTGTATTACACGCTATCTAAAAACTAGGAATGCAAGCTCTCCGAGCAGGGCAGGAACTGCTTAGTATATTTATGCCTCCTTTCAAAATTAATATTAATGATAAACCAAACACCAGGGAGGGAAAACTGAAAATGTGATGCCAGCCTCAAGCAGCAGTTGGCCCATCAGGCTGCCAGAGATGCAAAAGCAACCAGTCCGAGTCCCACTGCAGCGAGGGGCAGGAATATCTCAAAGTTTGAAGAGAAAAGCAGCAAGTGTTCTCTAACTTTCGATGGCACATACAGGTGCTTCCTCTTGAACCTGCCATAGTGCAGCTGGGGACTATTTAAGAACATCTTATCAAGACAGCGTGCCAAAAGAAGAGGGCTAGCCTGGTGGGGGACCCAGTGCACCTTGCCTACACAGCAGCTAGGCAAATGTCTCACGCACCAAGGCCAAGGCACAAATGCCTGATGAGACCAATTACTGCGTCAACAACAAAACTAAAAGCTGTGCCCCTGCTGCTAAAAGTATGATCCAGAGAGTTAGCAAATGCCCACACAAATGAAAGAAAGCGGTGACCATCTGGATTAATACTTCAATTCAAACCATTTAGATTGGTCTAGGAGGTTCAAGCCCACCAGACTTTTTAGTACCTTCATAATCAATGAGAAATGTCAGCGGTGCTGGATCTCGCAGGATGCTCAAAGGTATACTTACTCCTGGTTCTACTTGACTTCTGTCTGCAATGTCGATATGAACAACTTCAACGCTCTTCCACGTGTTCGGATCCAAATTGTGCACCTGCAATGAGGAAAAGCGGGGACTTGACCCTTTGCCACCTTCACACAGTGACTACAAACGCTCTTACAAGCCCAAGGAACCCCCTCCAAAAGTTACCACTGATTTCACTAAAGCTAGTAGTGCCTCCACAAACTGTTGCTTTGTGCATTCACGGGGATGTGGTTTGACAATGCATTCTTCCCCCATATTATAAACACATGATGAAGTCAAACACACTAATTAGACTTGTCACCCATTATGTAGGCCACGCAGGATTTCTAATTTGGTAAACATCCTTCACACAACTGAAACGCCAACAATCCAGTTATTGAAACCTACTCCGACTCTAATAAGCTCCTTACAACAGATGCCCAATCACTTTTTGAATGCTGTTTTGAAATGTATTGTTGTCATGAACTATCAAGAGACACAAATTCATCGGCACAGAAGGACCCAATGACCTAGTCCACATGATAGCCATCCACCCATCAAGCAGAAGTCCTCCCTTAAGGATTGGGAATCAGCTGCTGCCAGATATGGAATACAGCTGTATGTTGTCAGAATGGCTAATGTGTGGTCCTGCTCACCCAACTTACATTTTCTAGTGTTCCCAAGTCCGGTTTATGCCAGGTCTCAATTTTTATGAAGAAGTCGTCTTTCATATATTCATTCTGTAAAAAACAACCAATCAGGCAGCAGAAGAGTGACTATTCCCCTTCCCCCACTTAAATCTTATGTTTAAAAAATTAAAATTTCTCTACTGGAAAGTTAGAACAGAACTTAGCTAACATATCTTTTGCACTCCGTTCTAATTCCGCCGTAAACATAGATAGAGGCTCCTTCACTGCATGTGAAAACAGTCAAGTCAGACACTCTGTGCCTTAACTTGAAATATCACTTAGATCACAGACTGCAACTCAAAACAGTCATGTGCCTGTGCACAAATCTGGACAGGCACTTCAGCTGCCTTCTTTTACATGGCATTAGCCTTCCCAACCCCACAAGTTCACTATTTCTAAGGTCAGAACCCAGTTATTTATTTTAGTACTGTCCCCCACAGAAGTCTTAATGTTCCATCACAGGACTTTTACAGGAACATTAAAACATTGATGGAAGAACATTTAAAATTGCAGACATCCAAGACAACAAGGAGCTCCAAGTCTGAGCCCCTGGCAAGCCCTCTGTAGTAAAAGGAAGGAAGCTTTGGCACTACTGAAGTGGAGTTTAGGCAATGCAAGGTTCCCAATGAACATATCGAGTCCCAGGGCACCCCCAAGCCTTACCCTCAAGTCTACAGCCCTTTGCCTTCATAAAAAGCTGAACTCACTCAAGGCAGACAACCCAAAAAACTGCACAAGGGAGGACAGGATGCCCTTCTTTCACTGTCTTACAAATATTTTCAATCCCAAGGCAGAGACTATTGGACAGCAACACTTGATAGTACATTAATCCTGCAAGTAAGATCCACAGTGGTGTCTGATATTAGCCAGGTGCATCTCCACAGAGCATCCTAGGCCAAATACCTCATTTGAAGCTATGCTGGCTTTACACTTGGTAGGCTATTATGACAGCATTTAACAATGAGAAGGGCTTTTGTTGGGTATTAGCAAAGTGATTTCCTTATTCTGACTAGTCTAGCTTTAATGCTTGGGGTAAAGTTCACAAAACAAAGCACCTGGTTAAAACACTCCTCATTAATGACAAGAGCAGCATTGTGCCCATTGCTTCAAACCCTAATCACTTTGGATACTGTATTGCGCAAAGTTAATGCCACTTTCTTCGTCCAGAGAAGAGACTTCAGAGTTCTGGGGGGTTGGTTCAAGTAGGGGGAACTAAGCTTTTTCCTTGTAATGCTCCTCTCATCCTGGACAATGCCAAGGGAGAGTACAGAGAGGATGCACCAGGGAAACTGCAGTTACCAAAAGAAAGTTACCCCTATATCTGTGCGAGGGAACCGCAGCAGGAGGCACTGGACCAGACCAGTGGTCTTTATCTTATATCCTGCCTCCTGGCAGCCAGAAGGCTTCAGTATTTTCAGCCTTTAGGTTTCAACACGAGAATGATGGAAAGAAGCGGGGGGGGGGGGGGGGGGAA